ATTTAGCAATGTCTTGGAGACACACTGTTGTAAATTGTTGCAATGCACTGTAAACTGTTTAAAATTTTTTTTTTACTATTTATAAATTTGAAGTCAGTCAATTAATAAAATAATTCTCTTCCTAGATGTACAAAAAACTCATAACCAAAGTACACACAAAAGTCTGTAGATCTGCAAACAAAATATAAGAAATTGATTTCTGTCTGCAAAGCTCTCTGTACAAACAGTTTCCAATGTGTTCTCAAGACTACAACAAGAGATTACAGCAAAGCCATGGACAGAAAACCCCAACTAGCTCCTTAACCAAATAGACCTTTCTTCAAGCACTGCAACTTAGCTTTGCAATTTCTCCTTTCCAACCTTACTGGCTATGATGATGTAATAAACCAGTAATAATCTGTTTCATGCACAAGTGAAAAATTACCATCTTCTCCCCAGTTTCTCTAGTATCCTAGCATGACCTCTTGTACCTGCTGACTGGCAGATAGCCAGTTTTTAAGAAAGTCACTTTATATGTTTGAATGTACTTAAGCATCACAAGAAATAGTCACTCTTCCAGATAACCTGCAGCACAATGAATGTCCACCTGGGGTGAGAGTCATCTGGTTCAAGTTATCACTGTGGCTGAATTGAAGCAGTTGTTTGAATCCAGACATCACAGCCAAGTATGCGATCACCACCTTATTGTGAAGTTTCTGTCAATTCTGCTTTCCTTTCATTTGAATCAGAACATCTCCTGGGACACAAAGATCTACTTTCTCACTCAGCAATACAGGGCACTTACCTTGACTGCAGACCCAGGCATCTCTTTCAAAAAGCATTAATAGCAGCACTACTACATGTACTCATATGCTAACTAAGTCACCATACTGAAAGTGCTTTCTTCCAGCTTTGCTCTGTGTGTAAGTAGAGGAAATGGTTTCCCTAGCAAGAATGATATTTTTAAGCCTACTTGGAGAATTTGGTGTTGGGACCTCCAGAGCTCTCATACAAGCTTCTGTCATTTCACATTTAAGGCTGCATCCGAAGGAAGGAGATTCTACAGAGTGGATGAAACACAGAAAACAGAAAGGGGTATGTATCACCTGGACCAGAAACTGAGGGGCCTGTGCACCTGAGATGCATAAAAGTGTTTTATGAGATGAGTCTTAATCTGTTTCAAAAGACTTCACTAGCAAGCAGACACTGGTTTTCCCTGCTGTACACAAACTCTCCCATAATTGCTTTTGTGGATACTGATGACTCCATGGCTTTAAAATTTCAGGAGCCCTAATTAGTAGTGTATATGCTTTGCTCACTAATAAGCTCCCTGTCCACAAACATCCTTGAAAGAGCACCTTTTTTTTTTTCTCATTTATTTTTAAACATGAAATCTGATGTATTGATATTCACTCCATTCCTACATACACAAGGAATGGAAAATCAAAACTATACATAAGCAGAATGCAAGAGTTTTGAGCAGAAATAGGAATGTCCTCCTTTTGTAACACAACAAAACCTGAATCTATGAATTATCCTAATGATTGAATTTTTTTTTTCATTAAATCCAGATTCAATTTGCTCAATAAATTCTCAAAACACTGTTATCTCCCATTGTAAAAGAAATTATTCAAGGAATAACATAAACACTACCTAATGATAGTTACATTACTACCTAATGACATTAGCAGAATAGAGACTGAGAAATTGCTAAGAAAAAAAATGGCAGTATAAGAGTTTGATCCAAAGGAATCACCTGTGCTGCTGAGGATATTTAGGTGTGTTTAAGTGCTTTACTGAGTCAGAACCAAGGCATTCATTAATTTGCTGGATTATACTACAAGATATGAATAATGCTGCAGGAATAGATGATGTGATCTGTGCTTCCAGGAAACAAATTACTTAACATTCACATTGATGCTGCAGCCTTAAACACAGTGTATATTAAAAAAAAAAATGGAAGGAAAAGCACAGAACAGAAATACAGATATGGTGTCAAGAATATTACAAGAATTAGCAAAATGATTGAGGTGAGAAAGGACTGCTGGAAGTCACCTGTTTCAACTCCTCTGCTCACACTAAGTGAGCATGTCCACATAGTTTTTGAGTATCTCAAAGGAAGGAGACACCATCACCTCTCTGGCCAACCTGTGCCAGTGCTCAGTCACCCTCACAGTAAAAAAAAAGTGTTCACTGATGGACAAAGGGAGCCTCTTGTTTGTGCCAGCTGCCCCTTGTGCTGGGGACTACTGGACTACTGGAAAGATCATGCCTCCATCCTTTTTGCACCCTACCTTCAGCTATTTAGGCACATTGATAGACCCCCGAGCCTTCTCTCCCCCAGGCTGAATAGCCCCAGCTCTCTCAGCTGTCTTCCACAGGAGAGATGCTGCAGCTCATTCATCATCTCTGTGGCCCTCTGCTGAACTCTCTCCACGTCTCTCATGTACTGGGTAGTCCAGAACTGGGTGAAGCACTCCAGTGCTGATTGGAGGGGAAGGATCTTCTTCCACCTGTGGAGCAATGTTTCAATATTGCAGCCCAGGACACCAGTGACCTTCTGTGGGTGAAGGGCACACGGTAGATAGCCCTGAGCTGAAAACGCCTTTCCAGATAATTGAGATCTACATAGTACATTTCCCCTTCTCAAACAGAAATCATAGGTGAATTATTAAAATTATACAAACTTAGATTTGTAACAGTGACTTAAATTTGAGCAAGATATTTAAGTCATCATTAAAGAGCAATGTTCTCCACATTTAGTAAGGTTTGAGACAGCTTTTTGTATATCAGTGTGTCCTCTTCTTGTCCTTTTCTGTCCTCTTCTCCATCTCCAAGTTAGTCATGATCATAGTGACTATTGAAAATTACCCGACTTCTTAATCTTCCAAGAAGGAAGTCAGAGCAGCCCTTCCCAGAATATCTGGTTTGGAGCATATTTCCTTTCATACAATCAAACCACAACATGCCCTGGCTGAGATTTCAAATCCTTCACTTCTCCTAGACCTATGAGAAACTCAAATGTTATTTATTGGTAAGGCTCCAGTGATTCCAAGGTGTTCCCTGGAAACATTTTTATTTATTCTCACATGTACATCTTTGAACTTGTATTTTTATTTGCACTTCTTTCTAAAGTCCTACTAAAATGTCCATTTTTAAGTTCTCTAGACCGGAACTTCTTGTCTTTTAATAAAGTTTTCAGTTCTAGAAACTGTTAGCACTATGACAAACAGCATAACTCTAAAACAGCCATATAAGAAAATACTGCATTATGTGTAATTGAAGATATTTTCTATCTAAATTCACTAAAATCTTGATTGTTAGAGACACCAGCAAGACACTATGGCAATGGTAGCTCATTCTGCTGCATTAAGAAGTATATTAAGAAGTATTCTGCTGCATACTGCTGTATATTAAGAAGGGCATGGGAAGGGCAATGATAGTGGCACCAGGCACCCATAATATTTTAATGGGAAGAGATTTAAAGCAATCAGGAATGAGTCACAACTGAAAAAGAAAATACATCAATGCTCAAAAGCCCTTTTTTATAGGAGCATAAGTAAGCAGCATCTCTAATATGATGCTGCATCAGTACGGATCATTAGCAAATACACAAGACTGTAAAGAGAACTAAGATAAAAATCAGTGTGATTTTAAAAGTCCAACATTTGTGTAGAGTAAGAAAATCTCCAAAGTAGATAGAAAAGAATAGCTGACAGAACCTATGTGCAAAACACCACTAATAGCTTATGTTGATTTCCAGAATCTTGTGTGAATGTGGGCACCAACAACAGAAACTTATATATTGCTTTTTTCAACTCATAGTATAACTAAGCCCAAGATAACTTCATAACATGTTCCTATTACCGTTGCTATTCTTTCCCTGTTGAAGCATACTAAGAAACTGGAAAATGAAGAAAACATATCTGTTAGCACTGACTCTAAATTAGCAATCATGTAGGTAACGTTAGACGTGTCATGTCTCCGTAATCTCCCAATTCTTTTACAGGTGGGCTAGATGACAAAATTGGTACTGAACACTAAGGCATGAAGAAATTCAGGTATCCAAAAAAAAATTCTCCTTTATTGGGAACCCAGAAGGTTCCAACAGTCAATTTTGAATTGGATACAAACAATTGATTTGCTGACACAGCCGTAATATTGGCCTGAACTATGTGCAGAGCTCAGCTGCACCTGGTATGTGCCACACAGTCACACATTTACTAACCTGAAACTCTTGGATAGCCATATTACATTCAATAGAGAGACTAATTTGTGATTATAAGGGCATGTACATAAGCAGCTTCACAATCTGAAGTCCAATCTTAAAGAAAGTTAAAGAGCAGGAGTTTTTGCTAGACCTTGAGCACAAGACCGTCTTGCACAAGTGTTAGATTACAAACGGAATTAAAACTGGAACTCAGCAGGTGAATACAGGAGACAGGTATTTTTTGTTCTAAAATTCACACATAAATTTTCTCCCATCCCATCTGTTTCCACCATCTTTGAAACAATGTTTCACAGCAAGCGGGAGAAAAGAACTCCCTCATTCCACCTTTCATGGTGTATCATGACTGTGAATCCAAATTCTTATCTTCCTCTTCCTATTAACTCAAATTTTGGCTTCATGTACCAGCTTATTATTCCCTCAGTCTACATTACAGTAATATCTTATGTATTCACATTAGAACTCATATTAAAGCTACAGTTACAGCCAAATAAAGAAATTATATTGCAACATTATTGTGCTAAATCTAATTAAAGCTCCCTACCAATTTTTAAAATAAAGTTATTTCCTATTGCTTTCTACAGACCTGAAAAATTACATAGGAAAACTAGAAAATGTGCACAAAGGAAGCTGAAGTAAAGACTCTTCCACAACAACAGGTTAAAAGAAATTGGAGAAATTTATTTTCCTACTTTACAGTATCTTTAAACAGAGTTTAGAATACATATACACACAACAATATCCCAGTGTTTAATGTAGGTTCATTTTTCATAAGAATTACTTTCATACTTACCCTTTCTTTCTGTTTTCTCCCTGCTACGGGAGTAGCCAGGAACTGAAGAAGTTGCAGAATCTGCAGATGTCCTGGGTCTCTGACTGCTCTCACTATGGTCCACAGGAGCAGCATTTAGCTGAGACCTTCCAAGATGCTGCTGCGGGTGAGAGGGACTTGAGGCGGGATCAGGATCGGAATTCATTTTAGCTGCCAAAGAAGAAAATAATGATTAATTATCAGAAAGCAGGGTTACAATGTAAAACTGAATAAAAATTTGAAATCTGAATGTAATTAGGTAACCAAAAAGCCTAGAAAACAGCAAGAAGGCTGACAGCAACTTCAAGATTTATTTATATATTCTTGAGTAATTCCAAGCATGAGCAGCTATAGCCGAGTCTGACCATATATACAGCATTGTGCCAGAACAGTGACTGCTTTTTTCCCAACTAATAATAACTGGGTTTCAAGTGTAAACAAATGCTAAAACTAGTAATCAATCCTGTAAATGCTAAATATAAATTTCTTCTTTGAATTTAATGTTCTGCTTGTACATGTTAGAAATACAGACAAGCCCCTAACTTTTTATGGGCAGGTCTATAATAATAGAAAAATTTATTTAATATTAAAGGTCTGGTTAATTGTCATCACCTAAGGGGATGACAGGAGACAGAGAAAGACAATAATAAGAAGGCAAAAGAGGAGATGTAGAACTCTGCATGGGGAATCAGAGGAGGAACACCACAAAGGATGCTGTTTTTAGACATTACCAACTTAAATGTCCATGATTCAAAATAAGCTTACTTTAAATACCTTTATGTCCCGTTTTAAAAAATAAAAAAAATTATTCACAGATGGCAGGGAGGGAAAGGCCTTACATGAGAGGGTCTTTTAGCTATAAGCCCTGTCAAAAATAAAAGGGGATCTCTTCTCTGTAGTAGAAAGTTCCCTAAATAAGTAAACTTACATAAAAATACCTACTGAAAGTTTAGCTTTCACAAGGCAAAAGTAGCAAGGTATGCATATACTACTAGAGCGTAACACATAGTAACTCTTGGTGCTTAAAACAACTTCCCTGAAGTTAAGCAATTTGCAAAAAGCATTGTAGAATATTTCTGGCAATAAACAATATTTTTAAATTCTGTATAAATACAGAATTAGTTCAGAATATCGACCTGAAGATGTCTTTGTAAAGATGAAAGTAGTGTGGCCAAAACCACAGACACAACTTAACCAACAACTTTTTCCACTCAAAGGATGTTAAAATCACAACAGGGTGCTAAGAGTTCAAGCAACGTCGCCATTGCCAAACATATTACTTGTAATTTGACAACCTGGCTGCCAATATTAAGCTTCCCTAAACCAGAAAACATTTTACTGATACACGTAAATACGTTTCTGTATTATATTTCTACATCAAGTTATAAATAAACCAACACAGTTCAGTTCAACCTTCAAACAGTCCTCGGAAAACACAGAGATTAAAATACCTTCCCGGTAAACCAGCATGAGTATTTTTAACCATTATACAATCACAAAAGTTACTGTGCCTCCACTTTTAACTTGACCTTAGCGCTTTGTAAGAGGCACGCTGAGCGCGGCCAGGCCGCGCCCGAGACGCCCCGCGGGGGATGCGCGGCACGGACGGGTCCGGCTCCTTCCAGAACGGGCAGCACCGGTGCCTCTCCAGCACAGCCGCGAGCAGGAGCTCACCTCGCTGTCAGCCAGCTCACAAAAACATTCCCGTCCCCAAAGCCACTCTGCGCTTCTCCTACAAAGGGCACCACCAACTTTTCCTCCGGGCTGTTCATAAGCCAGCGGGCGGTGCCTCCGCACCCACGGCGGTGACTCCGCACCCACCGCCGCCAGCCGCTCCCAGTCGGGAGCACCGGAGTTGGCTCGGCCTCGCTCCCCGCGAGGTCCGAGAGTGCCCGGGCGGCCCTGCCTCTCCGGAAGGCCAGGGAGCCCCAGCGGGGGACGCGAGG